TTATTGTCTTCAGTCTTTTCATTTCCTGGGGCATGGCAAGTAGTCTTCCGCTTAAATAACCGAAGACTCAATCGAAGTAATTCATTGTCTACCACTGGGGCATTCGTGTAAGCTTGTTTTATGGTGCCCTATTTGAAGAAAACAAAAACAAACTTTAAAAAAGACGTACATTATTAGTTGACAATAGGAAAGATTAACCTCTACCCAAAATATCAAAGTTATAAGAGTATTTCATTTTGAATATTAAATTAAATCAGCTTTATTGGATTTCAAAGCAAAATCAGAAAATGTGTTTGGGCTCAATGAATCTTTGAAAACAAACTTTTAGAGGGCACCTAGTTTAACCCCTTGCTTAAAGTAGGATCCTCTCAACGATTTCTGACAGGTAATCAACCAGTTTTTACATCATCATTTCCAATGACAAAACTAACAAAAAACACACTGCACATTCTGTTGTTGAATGGCACTATTTCTTCCATGGGATGAAATGAAAGCTCTTCTATGGTGCTACACTGTAATTCAATCTTACCTCTACTTGACAATCCTTCCGTTCTACGAAGATAAGTGTCATGAGTTCCTTCCTCACATAGTTTTTCCTTCTGTAAGCTCAACATTCTATTCTATACTCCTTACCAATCTTTCAATGTCCCATAAAAAGTGAGCTCGAGAACTGAATAAATCCTTTAGAAGACAGCTAATCATGCAGTATGCTGAAGAACTACTACCTCCCTTATACTAAAATGTGTATCTATATTACTGTGACTTAAAGTTACATTAGCATTTTTTTGGAAAGTTATTGTCACAGAGAAGGGACCAGGGAATGTTACAAAATACGAAACAAAGAAAAGTGCATACTGAAATCAGAGGGCAAAGGGGAATGACTGTAGTGATTCTGTCAAAAGTAATCTTGAACCAGACCTTTAAGTGAGGAAAACTTGATTATATAGTCAAGACGTGTTTTAAAAATCGCCTGTTCCTCATATTTGTTTCCATTTTAATCTTTGGAGATAAACTCATTCTTCTGTTTTTTAAAAATTGAATCCCGCCTACCCACTGCCCTAAATCTGAGTATTTTTCTTTAATGAAACTTCTCTTTAGGAAAGTTACATAGTCAAAGATAATTCTGTTTTCCTAACTGCCCCTAAGTAAAAAGCTAGTGAAGTTAACCATTTTATCATTACTCTAAGCTTTCTAAGCAAAGAATCGCACCAACTCTCTTTTTGTCATCCGGGTTGAGTATTCCTCAACTTAAATGCTTTGGACCAGAAATGTTTCAGATTTTGAAATTCTTTTGAATTCTGGAATATTTGTATTACATTTATGTACCCAGTTGAGCATCCCTATCTAAGAATCCACAATCTGAAATGCTCCAAAGAGCATTTCCTTTGAAGGTCATGTTGATCCTCAGAAAGTTTCAGATTAGGGATACTCAGTCTGTACTACCTATGCCCACTCATCCACTACCCCAAATACAAATCCCAGTTTCTTTTGTTTTTTTTTTGAGACGGAGTCTCGCTCTGTTGCCAGGCTGGAGTGCAGTGGCGTGATCTCAGCTCACTGCAAGCTCCGCCTCCCGGGTTCACGCCATTCTCCTGCCTCAGCCTCCCAAGTAGCTGGGACTACAGGCACCTGCCACCATGTCCGGCTAATTTTTTGTACTTTTAGTGGAGACAAGGTTTCACCGTGTTAGCCAGGATGGTCTCGATCTCCTGATCTCGTGATCTGCCTGCCTTGGCCTCCCAAAGTGCTGAGATTACAGGCGTGAGTCACTGCGCCCGGCCAAAAATCCCAGTTTCTTAGCTTCGAAGAGTCTAAAATGTTTTCATCTTGGGTTTACCAGATTTCATTAATAGATCTCTTCCAAATCTAATTCTATTTCTTTTACTTCTCAATCTCTTTATTCCTCTCAAATACTTATATAGGGTCACTTTACTTCCCTTTCTTCCAACTTTGTACATTCTCATAAATACTACTCTCATAAATATCCTCACCGCTCTAAGAAATTTTTTCCTTGAGTTTCAATTTAAATAAATTTTTGTAATATGTTTGCTTGTTGAAAACTTTTCACAAAAAACGTTTAACATAAATAGAATATCTTAAACTTTATTAAAACAAATATTCATTAATACTATTGAAGTAAAATAAAGTATATTATACTTTTTAATGGCATGCTTCCTTTTACATGTGTAAAAGATTAGGAAACCAAACGCATAAAAACATAGGATTGCAATCTCAATTTAAAACAACCAAATGAAAAATAAAACAACCAAATGAAAAATTCGCACTATTCACTTTGTATTTTTTCCAAGGAAATAACAGTACCTTCTCATTTTTAACAAGCTGCTTTCGAATTGCAGAATCCCGTCTGAAGCATAACGCCTTACAACATGGCCCAAGATTACTAAGAAGACTTGCTCTTTCTTCTTTTCGTAGTAATGCGGCCATATTGAGAGCCCCCAATTCATGTTCAAAGAGATTGTCTGCGTCTTTCAAAAAAAAATAAACATGCATTAAGTTTTACTAAAATAGAAAATGGTTACCCACTACCTAACTGAATATTCTACAAATTCTATACTTTATTAAAGTTAGCAACATTGGTGAAAATTATTTCATATTAAAGGCAATATATTCTCTGTGAAGCACCTTCAATATGTAGTTATGTTGGTAGTCTCAAACAAGAATAAATATTCTGATAGCCACTTTAAATTTACTTAAAATATAAGAAAAGCAGACTGTATGTAGATCTCGGGGTAGAGCCCAGGGAATTTTTTTTTAAATTTTTTAAAATTTATTTATTTATTTATTTTTTGAGACAAAGTATCTCTCTGTTGCCCAGGCTGGAGTACAATGGCACAATCTTGGCTCACTGAAACCTCTGCCTCCTGGGTTCAAGCAATTCTCCTGCCTCAGTTTCCCGAGTAGCTGGGATTACAGGCATACACCACCACGCCTGGCTAATTTTTTTATTTTTTATTTTTAGTGAGATGGGGTTTTACCATATTGGCCAGGCTGGTCTTGAACTCCTGACCTCAAGTGATCTGCCTGCCTTGGCCTCCCAAAGTGCTGGGACTGCAGGCATGAACCACTGCCCCCAGCACCAGGGAATTTATTTAAAGAATGTTTTTAAAGGATGTTTTAAAGAGACGTTCAAGAATCACTGAACTCTAATTCAGTATACTGCTTACCATCAACTACTATTTAGAGTTCTAGATTTCAAGACTTTATTATAGCAAGATTCAAATGTTATAACAATATTTAAGTCTGTGACCTCTAAAAAAAATAGTTAAGAAAGTGATTAAGTGTTAGTCAGACAACCTGCAAATTTTGTCCTAGATTTGGTCACCATAAAAACCTAGGACATATATTAAATTAAAATCACTTAGTTTTAAGTCACAACATGCAAGGTAGGGGAGAAAACACTGAACATACAAAAAAAAAAAAAAAAAAAAAAAACCCAGAAGAAGAATTAAGGAAAGATGTAATAAAATATAAAGAGGTTGGGTTAAAAATAGACACAAAGGAAATCAAAATAACAAAATAGGACCAGTCAGTAATCCAAATAAGTAAGAGTCGGCCAAGAGTACGAAAGACAGCAGGTATTGCCTCTATTCATACAACACGATCAAGCAGGTTACTTTTAGAACCCACAAAGAAAAGCAGTAGACACTTGGGTAAAAACAAAAGACATATTTTACTGAGAACAAAATGGAGCTGCATTACATAGCTGACTTCAATTTTCTGGGCTGCAAAGTGTAAGTATTGAGATTAGATAATTAACAAGAAACCAGTCTTATGTAATACACCTAGTCAATAGGTATGTAACCTAAGAAAGGTGTAAATAAATAGAAAAGCTCGAAACTAGTTCTCAAACACTGGTGTCTATCAGAATCAGCTGAGGAGCTGTTTTAAAAACATTTCCTAGGCTCTACCACCAGATTTGCAGAATGAGAATCACCATAGTTGGACTAGAATACCTTAAGGGAAAAAAGGGGCAGTTTTTCAGATGATTCAGATATACCAATGTTTGTACCAACCAATGATATAGTCATACATGCACATGACTAAAAACAAAAACGAAAACATTAACTACCATTCCACTACAGATATAATATAAAAGAAATGCACTGAGCCTACACCCTTCCTTGAAAATTGTTCATTAGCACACATTTCTGTTTATTGGGATCCTTATTTTTGGCTTTCAAAATAGTAGATTACAAAACACACACCTGCAAACCTGCTCAGGGAGTATATAACATGGCTAAATTTCTAGTCTCTTCATAGTTGTGAACTGAGCAGCACCAAATTACTCAAGAAACAGACTAAATGCATTCTTAACAGTTTAGCTGAAAAGAACTTAACCAACAGAGAGTAGAAGGTTAATAGAGGCTGGGAAGGGTAGTAGGGGTGGGAAGTTTGGGGGATGGTTAATGGGTCAAAAAAAAAAAAATAGAATGAATAAGACTTAGTATTTGATAATACAACAGGGTGACTATAACACCCTGTTGTAAAAACTGTTATTGTCAATAACAATTTAATTGTACATTTAAAAATAACTAAAAGGGTAACTGGATTGTTTGTAACACAAAGGATAAATGCTTGAGGGAACAAATACTCAATTTTCCATGACATGATTATTAACACATTGCATGACTGTATCAAAGTATCTCATGTACCCCACAAAGATATACACCTACTATGTACCCATAAAAATTAAAAATTAAAAATAGAACTTAACCTTAGTGCAATTAGAAAACTTAGACAAAAGCAATTTCAATTTCAGTACACTTGTAAGTTTTCTGCTTTAAGCTTTGTTTCTTTTAAAAATTATATGTGAAGTATGATTATGTTTTCTTTCATGTTGGTACACTTGAATAGACCAAATGGAATAGAAAAATCATTATCAGTTATTTCATAAATATTTACTGAATACCTACTATGTATGTCAGGCACTTTTCTGGGCAATAGCAGAAAATATAGATAGATAATTAGACCCTGGATACGGCAGCAAACAAGACAAAGTCTTTAATCAAGATTCAGTTCTCTAATATAATCACCATAGCAGCAAAAAATAGAAGAGGTCTGATTGTCAAGCCACATCATCCCACCCTTTACAGTGTATATTTTCCTTGTTTAGGTTAAGTCATCCTTAAGTAAGGGCCGAACTGTATTTCATGGGTAGCAAAATCAAACCAGGTTTTAACTTGAAATGCCACTAGCAAAAGTCACAGAAACAAATATCTTTAGAGGTGGGTAAGATTTCAGGGGTTTTATTCCATCACTTTACAAATTAAATTGAGGCTCACAGGAGTTACTTGCTTAAGGTCACAGAACCAACCAAACAAGACAAACAGAGTAGGGCAAGAACTAAGTCTTGGGTCATTTTTCGGTTAATACACGTTCACAATTATAATTTATATGTATTTTGTACATGTATACTCTAGGTTTACTGGGCTATATTAAAATAAAAAAATTTACTGCCTATGCTAATAGATGAAAGGAAGGGCATGAATTCATAAAACTCGTAACACAATTTTTTTTGATAAAATTTAATACTAACTAAACTTTTATGCCCAGGGACATGATATAAAATTGTTAATGTTGTTGCTTTTACCTTTTACCCTTTTTCCTTCTTTTTACCATCTGCTCGTCCCTCCCCATTAATAAACTATTAGTAAGTTGCAAAATAAACTAAGGTAGGTACTAGATGAGACAGAGACTGCGAAAACCAAAACGAAACAACCCCCACCACCAGAATCCATAAGCTAGATAATCTGGAATAACTGAAAATTGTTGCAGTAAGGTCAAAAATCAGTATGATATTTTCAAAGTAGCAGTTAATATTTATTGGGTATTACTATATGCCAGGAACTGTTCTAAGTGTTTTGCCTGTAATAACCGATTTGCTCCTAATGACCATAGGAAGTTGGTGGTATGATTATTCCTAACTTACAGATGATGACACTAACACACAGATTAAGTAATAGCTAGTAAGTGGTGTGCCTACCGAAATCCAGATCATCCAGCCTTACAGACCAAGCTCTTAACCACTTTGTTAAAGACTCAACCTACACACCTGCATTTGGGTAGGTGTCTAGGGGGAAAGGGCTGCCAAAATACCCAATTTCTTTAGACATGAAAAATATGTAGTCTTTTTTCCTGGCTCTATTTCATTTAGCCAAGGGCAAACCACTGAGCACTTTGATATTGTAATTTATTGGTTATTTATTTTATTTTATTTTAAGACAGGGTCTTGCTCTGTCACTTAGGTTGGAGTGTGGTGGCTCAATCATGGCTCACTGCAGCCTCAATTTCCTGGGCTGGAGCATTCCTGCTGCCTCAACCTCCCTAAGCAGCTGTGACTACAGACATGCTACACCACGCCTGGCCTGTTAATAAGTAATTTTAATACAAAAAGTTCACTGTACTCTTTTTCCAACTTTTCTGTGGGATAACTCTTCTCAAAATAAATTTTAAAGAGAAACTTTGACCATGAGGGTTAAATAATGACTATAAATGATTTCTCAAAAAATAGTTTCTATACAGTGTTAAGTGCTACATTAGAACAGATCACAATCCTCTTTAGATGGCACCTTAAATGGTTAACAGACAGCATATAGTTAAAGTAAAATGAAACTACCTTTCGGTTTTTCTAGAAGTCTCTGACATGTTTCTTTGACTTTGGCAAAGAGTTCAGAACCTGCCAACTTTTTAGAAATCCCAACTCTTAGCATAACAGCTCCAGGTGTGAATTTTAAGAGTGCAGCCCCAGGCTCTCGTGGTTCTTTTGGATGCTTTGGCATAAGACCAGACCAATCCACATCTATCACATCTAAGGGATCTGTAAAAAGTTAAAAAGTAAGATTTGTTTTACACCAAGAAATAGCAGTCTTGTTATCTACACAGAAATTTATATAAATCAAGGAAAACACAGAAAACATTAAATGAAAAGTACTTTAAACCAAAAATGTCCTATTCTTAAAATAAAAGCCTTCCCATATAATATTCAGAATCTAAGGACTCTGACAAATAAAAAACCTTCCCACCAAAAGAAAACAGGTGACCCAACCCACCCAAATGAGTAACTCATTTTAACTCTATGGGAGATCCCCAATGAAAGAACTCTATTGACTTCACTCAGATTAGGTCTAATCTTTTGAAACTTGGTACCAGAATCCTTTTAAGGGTTAAATCTAGGAGTACATGTGTTTGCAGTGTGAGTACACATACATTTTAATTTTTAAAAACAACTATTTCATTATGAAATCCCTTTAAGAGTCAGAGAGTGACTATTATTAACACTGAGAGCAAATAATCCATCCACTGAGAAGGAACAGTTGAAGAAATAATGTTCTACTTAGAAATACCTAATACCAGCAAATAACAAAGATAACAATCATACATACCTTCTACATCAGTAGAAAAAATTGCAAAACATAAGAGCAAATTAAAATAAAAATTTCATGTTTTATATAATCAAAGAAAAGATCCTCACTGTGATTTAAAAAAACTGTTAGTAATGATCAGAAGCTAATTGGAATGATTCAAGAGGAATGTTAAGGGATGTTGCTTCATGGCATAATCATTAGAGTGAGTTCTGGTAACACGCAAAGTACTGTGAGTCAAAATAATTACCAAATTTAGAAAACTGATAGAGGTATATAGTGTTCAAATACAATTTCAACTACTGTAAATTTCTGACAGGTTGTTTAAAAAGTTGGCTTATGTCACCACAGTTGTGAAGCTTTGTACCATATACCTACCATGTAGAAAGAACATTGCTAGACAATCAGTATTTGTTTAGATTCCAAGTCATATAATATGATTCTTAAATTCTGGAAAATAAACTTTAGAATTTTGCTATTTTAAATGAGGGCCTTTGTAATTCACAGACAATGCCTACTTAAAAATAAGCAGGCATATGGGCTATAATTTTCATTTTATTGGCCTTTCAACCTTAAGTAAAATACAAAGGGAAAAATTATAAGTGCCCTAGGTCAATTTTTACAGAGTAGAAGGTAAGAATACTCTAATACCATATAACAGGTAACTTTCATGTTTAACCACCTCTGCAAAGTTACCTGGCATCTTCTCCTCATCCTGTTGGTCCTCCCTCTTTTCTGCATCACCTGCCAGAATTTCATCTAGTTCGTCATCACTGATTGGCTCGTATCCTTCTCCAGCACCAGAGCCTAATGAATGTGCATCATCTAACTTGGACTCGTCATCTCCTGCTAAATAGACAAATTAATTTCAGATCAAAGGCAATGTTAAAGGGAGGGGATGACTAAATCAAACCAAAAGGTAGAGGGTACACACATTATAACAATGCGAAAAACATCTTTTTCATCAGAAAACTACATCTCTTACTTATTCAAATACTTGACAATATCAAAAGAAAACATAAATAAAATTTAATTAGGTAAATTAAATTTTAACAGCAAGAATACAATCTGGACAGCAATTATCAGAACAGGTTATAAGATCACAATTATGACAAATAAAAGTTACTACTAACATACTAATGTTGATTGTGTGTTGTGTTAATTTTTGATAATTTAAAACTTTAAAACTCAGACAAGTCTAACTTCAAAAGATTTTGAAGTTACATTTTCAAATTTTCACAATTTATCTAAAGTAATTTAAAAACTTGCAAACTTATTTCAAAAATTTACTTGAAGCTTAAATCTTAGTTCATATTATTTAGCTCATTATATAAACTTTACAGCAGTGAGGTAAAAATACAAGAAGTGCCATTAATTCTCTCTCTACATCTCAATTCCTCCTCCCTATCTCAATGATCTTATTCACTGACGAACACAATTTTTAGAAGAATGCTTTAATACAATTAAAAATAACTTTGTGAGTACCACTAGTGTATGTTTTTTTTTTAATTTTACCAACTTTTTTCAACCACCTATGCTAAACTTTGTCTCTTGGTGAGTTAGTTGTGAACTTAATCCTAAAATTACAGAATACACTTAACATTTATAATCACTAGCTAACCATACATTTCACTGAATCTACAATACTAAGTTTCAAAATGTAACCGTATGCTTTATGGGTATGAATTTGCAGCAAATAAAATATAAGAAGTTATAAGACATTTCTAGTCATTCTAGTGATTTTCCATGTTATTAAATTCTATAGTAATCTCCCCATATCCTCACTAAGTTACTTCTAAGGTAACCAATTTTAGTAACTTCGTCATATAAACATACATCTAAACATAAATGCACATAATAGGATTTTTCATTTTTCAAGGTGATCCAACTCATTTTCCTACTTTGAGTAAAAACTTTACATCACATAGCAAGGGATTCAGTTATACATTTCTATGCTATATTGTCTGTGATCATAACTAGCAAATTATATATTTTAGAGATGAGGGATACTGACTTTAATCACAGAGAGCTATGATAATGATTAATTCAATTATATTCAATTATATCCCAGGGTTGTACCACGCTTCATGATTTGATGCTATTTATACTCAAAATTGAGATGAAAATGTAATATGAAGAGATGAATTTGAAACAGTAAGTGCCTCGAGCAGAGAAGGCTTCATCGAGAAAATAATGTATAAATTGGGACTTGAAGTTTGAGTAAGAAAGATGAGATAAAAGAAAAAGGTCTATCAGGCAATGGTATGAGTGGTACAAAGAAGGGCAGAGAATGGAAAGGCACAAGTCAGCTTGTCTAGTAAATGGGGGCTGAAGGGTAAAGAGTAGAAGCATGGAGAGTGAGGTTTCACACAGCTGGGGCTGGCTCTGAGTGGGCCAAAAGGTTGACATGGACTTAGCGTTCCTATTCTAGGACTGGGGAGTACCAGTGGGATTCTAGTCAATCCGACATTAAATACAGTTTCAGGTAGTGTTATTGTTTTATATATTTGTTCTAAACTGCCCTAGAAAATAGGGATTCACTAATAATTATCTGAATCCCTCTCTGAACTAAGAAGTCATTTCAATTTTTGTAATCTTATTTTTTTAACATCTAAGAAAAGGATGTGATGGTTATTCTTCAACATCTATACGCACTGAACAATCTTTTATTTCATTTAGGTTTATGTGAACCAAATCTGCCTTAATGGTAGTAGAGGGGACCACATTAAAAAATATACGTGTCTGTATCTCATAGGCCTTTTCCTTCTGATATCTACTTCCCCTATAAAAGAATGGAGAATGAAGTCAATGTGCCTATTAGTGGATGCCCTTTCAAAAGAAAACAGTTGTTTCCCATGAAATCTGAAAAGAAAGAAAGCAGTATCACCGAAAAAGAGGTAGCACTCACCTTCCAGACTCTCAGTTCTCTCCGATTTATTTATGTCTTCAAATCCCTGCACAGATCCCAGATCTTTATCCATTCTCTCTTTATCCAAGGCTACAGAGTCTCGCGAAGTGCTTTCTAGATCCCTTTCATGTTCACCTTCCAGTTTTGCTTCACAGCGTTTTACAGACTCTATTTGAGAACTCTCAAAAGTTCTGTCTCTGTCTCTGTCCCTGTCCCTTTCAACAGAATCAGAAATTAGTCTCTCTCTTTCCCTATCCAAGTCTCTCCTTTTGTCTCTTTCTCTCTCTCGTTCTCGTTCTCGCAATCTATCTCGATCCCTGTTGCGTGGCCAATCTTTATCAGCATCTCGGTCCCATTCTCTCTGCCTTGTATCTCTCCTCTCTCTCTCGCGCTCTCTATCGTGTTCATATCGATCTCGCTCTTGAAGCCTGTCTCTGCTATCAAATGACCCAGATCTTGAATGGACCTGTCGATCTGACTCTGGAGAACTTCTTCTTGAACTATGGCTTCTTGAATCCTGGCGATCTAAAATAAATATACCATGTACAAAGAGTTACTAGCACACGATAAAATAGAAACAAAATGCTTCATTTCAGGATCCTTTAAAACATAATTTACCTTTTTCCATATTCTATATAATTTTCTATATTCCATATTATCTCTATATGTTCTATATATTTCTATATTCTACATATATATTTCTCTCTATAAATACCACATAAGTCATTCTAAGAAAAATTCCTCTCTCAAAGTTCTAATAAATTTAAAAAAAGTTTCCTTGTCTATTTCCACTATAACCATAAAATACCTTCCAAGAAGTACATAAAATGATTAGGCATTAATAGAACTAATCACTCCATTATTTGATCTCTTCCTACTCCCCTATCTTATTTTCTGTGGTCAAAAGAGGCAGCCTTGACTGCATGAAGAATAGCAGGAAGGTTAAAATCATAGGCACTGATAAGGGACTTGAACACATAAACCCTTCCACCAAGACATACTACTAAAATTCTGATACTAAACTGATTAACACTATTGTATGTATTTCTATTATAATGTTGGTATTAATGTGATAACAGGTAACATTTCGATGGGGCAGCTAAGCTTTTCTTTAAAAAGTTCCATAAAATTTAAGGCAACATGTAAAGTAACCAATTTAGCATTACTTTAGAATTAAAATACGTATAAAATATACTAACCTATGAAACAGTGACTAGATCATAATTCAATTTTATTACCTGAAGAAGTACTTCGACTGGGTTCTCCACGCTTTAACTGATCAATCCTAGATTTTCTCTCTCCTGTGATTTCCAGGCTTTTTGTTTTTTCTCTATCTCTTGAGCCACTATGCAGTACTCTCTTTCGACCACTTTGGTCATCTCCACTTCGATGGGCAGAATCATTGGATGGGGAGCGAAGACGACCAGATGTATGACTACGGTTACTTCGATTGCTCCCAAGGCTGCTGCTCCTCTTTTGATCCACAGGTTTGCGATGTGGTGCATCTTCTATAGTCACATGAGGTGTCTCTACTTTTTCCATTCGTGTTCTGTGGCATTTTCTGTGTGAGTCTTCATTGGCAAAAGTATTATTGGTGGTACTGGTGGGGGTGGCAGAGGTGGAAATGGTGATGGAAGATGTGCTGAAAGAGGTGGTGGCAGCAGCAGTAGTGGAAGCAAGAGTTGCAGGCGCAGTTGTAGCAGTGGCAGTAGCCACAGGCGGTGGAGGAGGAAGAAGAGAAGATAGAGGAGAAGGGGTACTACCAGGAGTAGCGGCGGTGGCACTATGCTCTGCTTCTGTCACCTCTGTACGGTCAGGCACATCCTCATCAGACCAGTCACTGAATGCTGTATCTTCTTTTTTCTGGGAGTCCTCTAGAATACCATTCTTACCATTGCACATTTCAACCAATTCCTCTTTAGTTGTTATAGGGGGAGTCCGTGGGCCTCTTTTCTTCTTACTTTGCTGGGCTGCTTCTTCATCAGAAATATCAGAATCACCTTTGGATTTTTTACGTTTTTTTTCAATGCTTTTCTTTTTCTGTGCTTTTTTTGGTGAAAATACTTGACCATCTTCAGACGTTGTCTCTATGTTAACCCTCTCTATTCCAATATCATCATCTTTCTTTTTCTTAATTGGTTTCTTTTGAATTTTTGCTTTCTTCTTGTTTTCATCATGAGCTCGATCAGATGTCTCTCGATCTTCGGACTGGTGGTGTCCTATAATGTCCTGTGCACGCATTCTTGAGCTTTCCAGGATTTCTGTCTGTTCTCTCTGTTTATCTACAGAAGAAACTTTCTCCTTGAGTTCCTGTTCTTCATAGCGCCTTGAACTCTCTTTCCTTTCTGGTTTACGATCTTCCTCTTTCCATCTACCCTGTCTGTCTTCTGTGAGGTGCGAGGGACTAAGAGAACGAGATTCTTGAGGTCGTACAACTTGGCTCAAGAGTCTGTGCTTTTCATCTATATAAAAGATAAAAGCAATCACACTCTCACCAGGTTAATATCCACTGCATGGTACAGATAAATTATAATAAGCCAATCTCTCCTCACACCTATAATCCCAGGACTTTGGGAGGCTGAGGCAGGTGGATCACGAGGTCAAGAGATCAAGATCATTTTAAAACTTTTAAAATGACAATAATTTTAGTCAAAATAAAAATATGGCTTTACTATAAACAGTAGAAAATGACAGTACTCTAACACACACTTTAGTCACAAAAGGAGATATTTAGAGACAGCAAAGCAAGACAACTTTTTAAAAATCTTAATTCATCAGTTCCTACTAGTATGAAAGGATGGTTTCATGGTTACAAACGAATATGAATATAGAGAGACAGAAAACAGAGTCTGCTTACTTTTATCATCTCCACTGTTGTAGGCATCACTGTCCGGAGAATGTTCACGCCGGCGCTTCGGGGACTGTCTAGGGCTGGGACTCCCTTCATTTCTATAGCGCTTCCTAAATTGGGCAAGCAAACACAACTTATAAAATTCTAGGGGGCAAAAAGAGATTTCTTTGTTTTTACTAGTATCTCTTTACTGTAACTGGAACATATAATTGTAGAAAAGCAATATTGCCAGAGGTATATCATACAAAGGATATTCAGTGCCTTTAATAAAAATTCTTTACTTCATTTGCTAAGAATTGTGAACTTAAAATATATGACATTTCTTCCTCTTCTTCATTATACATGTAGAATACTCAAGTGAAAATTGCCAGATTTAAATACTGCAAGGCGGTAACATGCAGCACAGAAATCAATATATTAATGTACCCTCTAATACAAACATTCAGCAATTTTGCATTCTTATGATATAAAAATGCCTTACGCTGCAGAGCTGAATGAGAAAACCTAATATTGGCTTTGAAGTAAAAAAGCTATGAGTTCAACTTACAACTACATTAGTTATTATGCAGCCTTTAGAAGGTTCCTTGAAGTCACTGAACTTTAGTTTCCTCATCTGAAAATGGGGGGGTGGGGCTGGGGGGGTGGGAAATGAGAGTCCATCTCATAAAACTGCAGTGAGGAATAAATCAGTTATGTCATAAACCCAGAGCCAGATATGTTGTGGGTATACTGTAAAATCAGTTCCTTTTCCCTTCTTGGAAGTCATTTTCTTGTTGACAATAAAATAATTCATATGTTCATTATACTTTTTGTTCCTTAGTTGAGCTTTAAATGAGTAGCGTTTTATATCTCTTGGGTACTTATTCTAGTGTTTTCTGCCATTTTCGTCAAAATTTGACTACCTGTTTTTTCATTAATATTGTTTGTTTATAAATACTATGGTCGAAAGTTAAGAAACATACTGTATACACGGACCAATGGAACAGAATAGAAAACTCAGAAATAAAGCCAAATGATCTTCAACAAACCATACAAGACGTAATGGGGAAAGGACACCCTATTTACTAAATGGTGGTGGGAAAACTGGCAAGTCACATGTAAAAGAATGAAACTGGATCTCTCTCACCTCAAATAAAAATCAGCTCAAGATGGATCAAAGACTTAAATCTAAGACCTGAAACCATTAAAATTCTAGAAATTAACACTGGGAAAACTCTTTTGGACAATGGCCTAGGCAAAGACTTCATGACCAAGATTCTAAAAGCAAATGCAACAAAACCAAAAAGAAATAAATGGAACCTAATTAAACTAAAAAGCTTCTGCACAGCAAAATAAATAACAAAGAAAACCCATAGAATGGGAGAAAATACTTGCAAACTATGCATCCAATAAAGGACTAGTATCCAGAATCTATCAGAAAGTCAAACAAATCAGCAAGAAAAACATAAACAATCCCATCAAAAAGTGGACGAAGGACATAAATAGACATTTCTCAAAAGAAGACATACAAACAGCCAACAAACATATGAAAAAAATACTCAAAATCACTCATCCAGGGAAATACAAATTAAAACCACAATGAGATGCCACCTTACTTCTATAAAAAGGGCCATTAAAAAGTAAAAAACAACAGTAAATGTTAGCATAGACATGATGAAAAGGGAATGCTTATTCACTGCTGGTGGAAATGTAAATAAGTACAACCTCTATGAAAAATAGTATAGATATTCCTTAGAGAACTAAAAGGAGATGTTTGATCCAGCAATCCCACTACTGGGTATCTACCCAAAGGACAAGAAGTCATCCTATGAAAAAAACACATGCACATGTATGTTTATAGCAGCAAAATTCACAACTGCAAAGATACAGAACCAACCTAAGTGCCCATTGGCCAATGAGTGGATAGAGAAAATGTGGTATATATACACCATGAAACCATGGAATATTACTTAGCCATAAAAAGCCATAAAAAAATGGAGTATTACTTAGCCATTTTGTTTTCTTAAAAAAAACAAAACAAAATAATGTCTTTTGCAGCAACTTGCTCTCACTTGTAAGTGAGAGCTAAGCTATGAGTATGCAAAGGCATACAGAGTGATATAATGGGTTTTGGAGACTCAGAACGGGGAGGATGGGAGGAGAGTGAGGGACAAAAACATACATGTTTGGTACAATGTACACTACTCAGGTGACAGGTGCACTAAAATCTCAGAATTCATTCAGGTAACCAAAAACCTCTTGTACCCCAAAAACTATTGAAATAAAAATAAAACAAAAACATTGCAACACATGTATATCCTAGACAGCTCCTTTATATAGATGAGCAACCATGTGGAGAAGGCCCCAGGTGTAATATGACAATTCACAGGCCCAAGCTTGTGTACTACTTTATCCAAAGCTCCTCTCCCATCAATAACTGGCCTATTTCCCCATTTTTCATATCTAATGACATGCTATGACAAGAGAATGGGGTGAAAGTGACACTGTGCAGATGTGAAGAGGATTCAGGAGGCCTTGCCGCTTCAGCTTCTGCCCTCTTGCTATGTTTCTACCATCACATGCAAAGCAGAGTTTAGACTACTGAAGTTCAGGGGGTCCAGTGAAGGAGAAACAAGATGTCCTATTTGCCAGACACATGAGTGAGACAATCCTGGGCCTCCAGGCCCAGCTGCATTGTCAGATGGAATGTTGATACATGAGTTACTCCAAGTGAGACCAGCAGAACAACCACTCTGTTAAGCCCAAGAAAAACTGCCAATCCACAGAATCATGAGCAAATAAATGGTTGTTGTTTTAAGCTACTAACTTATGTGGTGATGTGTTACACACCAAGAGATAACTGATAGACTGGAATAAAGTGAAAATTTAAAACATGAGAAAAAGTTATTTCAAGGAAATACCTAAATAAACACAATTAGAGTAAAATAAAATACGGCAATTTGGCAAACCTTCTACATAACAGCAGTTAAAAAAAGTGCTGGATAAACTGAACTACTGAGATGACAATACAGTTAATGAAAGATTAAGATATTAATCTCACATAGTTTCTGTTATAGAGTTATTCAACTTCTAAATTTCTGGGGTCATTGTCAACTCTTAGATTGTCTAACCATGAAAAACCAGAAAAACTTTTGCTATTACAAGCAGATATCAGAAGCATGAAAAAAATACAGTTTGAGTATCCCTTATCCATGAAATGCTTTGGGTTTTGAATATTTGCATTGTACTTACTGGTTGTGCATCCTTTATCTGAAAATCTGAAATGTTCCAATGAGCATTTCCTCTGAGTGTCATGTCAGCGCTTAAAAAGCACTAGATTTTAGAGCATTTCAAATTCTGAATTTTTGGATTTGGGATGCTCAATCTGTATTAATGAAAACATAGGACTGAATAAAAGATAAATAACAAAGATTTCAGAATTTTAATCTTAGAAAATAAAGAGGTCAGAAAAGTGGGGGATGGGGAGGGCGGGAATATGTACCTGTGCCTCCATGTGTTAAAAAAGATCTCTCTGAAGTTTATGTTCAGGTAAGATTGTTCAAAATGTAAGGAGAGGGAAGCAGGAAAGTAATCCAGGGGGTGTACTACAGAAAACCATGGCTGCAAATTAAAGAGTAGCCAAGACCTAAGGGAAGAAGGTTCTACTTCTGTGCTGTGTTGTTTGGCCCTAACCATAACCCACAATAGGGAGGATGAAAAAAGCCTAAAGTAGGGAGCCTGTATTCACCCTGTGGCAAATGAGCTGGAGGTAGGAGCAAGAAAACTGAAGATACATAAATTATTTTCTCAGTATGTTTTGCCAAGGTAAACCAGTGTTTATCCCAGTTGGAGGCAAAAAAGCAGTTAATTCTAGTAAGTTTTGTTTTGTACCCATAGAACTTCAAAATTGACCAATCAGAGTCTAGAATTCTCATGAACACTGTGATCAGCTTAGTCAATTACTGTCTCCCCATCAACTAATGAGAGCCCCAACACAGAGAGGACTGCAAAGCTGACAGGGACAACTCTGGGGCCATCTTAGCCATCATTTGGAGAAAACCTTTCTGAGACTGAAATTAATACAGAGGGAAACTAGAGAGACGGAAACTGCTAATGCTTTGTTTGAGAATCTGGATATAGCCACATCAGAACAAGCAAAAGCTAATCTCCAACTTCCTAGATATTTGAGCAAGTAAGCTCTTTTTTGGTTAAAAGGGGGTGAGCGGGGGGGAATGACCTCGATATATGAGATGCCAAGAACACATCTTTTGACCCCAAAGAACTACTCCACAGCACAAGAGAAGACACTTCCTTTTCTCTCATCTTCGAACCATGCAGTGATTACAAGGATTCCCTCAGTTCTAAAACATTGTCAATGCTTCCCGCAGCCTGGGGGTAGTGACTCCATAATTACAAGCACATAAAATTCATGAAGGATCATCAGAATGGCACAGGTGATATCCCTTGGTGACTAGTCTAGGTGATGTGATGGGATACAAGTTCACTGATTCCTGTCTTAATTTAAAAATTGCTTTTTCTAGACAACTGAAAAAACTTTTTTTTTTGGAGACAAGGTCTCCACCCAGGCTGGAGTGCAACGACATAACCTTGGCTCACTGCAACCTCTGCCTCTCAGGCTCAAACAATCCTCCCATCTCAGCCTCCCAAGTGGCTAGGACTACAGGCATGCGCCACCATGTCCAGCTAATTTTTGTATTTTCTGTAGAGATGGAGTTTGCCATGTTGCCCACTCCTGGCCTCAAGGAATCTGTCCGCCTTGGCCTCCCAAAAAGTGCTGGGTAAATAAACACCAGATACATATAATAACTGACTGATAATTATTCTTACTTTGATTTTCTTTCATCATGTCCATCTCTTGGATTCCTATCTTCTCGGATCTCTTCTCGCTTTTCTCTGCGGTCATCTCGCCCTTTGTCTTTGTCTTCCCAATCCCTCTGGCGTTCTCGTTCTTTATCCCTTTCTCTCGCTCTTTCTCGTTCCCGTTCTCGCTCTCGCTCTCTCTCCCGTTCTCGCTCTCTTTCCCTCTCTCTTTCTTCTCTTTCTCGTTCCCGTTCTTTTTCCCTGTCTCGCTCCCTCTCTCTTTCCCGCTCTCGATCGTGGTCTCGGTCTCTATCCCTTTCACGATCTCTCTCTTTTTCTCTTTCTCTCTCTCGTTCCCTAGCACGCTCTCTTTCTAGTTCTCTCTCTTTTTCTCTTTCCCGATCCCGTTCACGTTCCCTCTCTCTCTCCCGCTCCCTGTCTCGTTCTCGTTCCCGATCTCTCTCTCTAGCCCTTTCATCTCTTCTATCATCCACTCTGTCTACTCTTCGTTCCTCTCTTCTTTCATCACGCTCAAGCTCGTCATTCCTTCCCTGATGTCGAATTGGTGAGCTTGGTCTTTGATCTACAATGAAAATCAAGTTTTGTCAGTGATTAATTTGACAGATAACCTATTGGTAAGACAGCATGGTAAATCTTAAATTTTATCTGTGTATAGGGTCACACTGGCAACAAATTACAAACCAAGTAGCATATTTAATTTTAACTTAATATCCAAGTAACAATCACCCCTAGACCTTAAAGTTTTTAAAGATAATTTTTATTTGCCCTCTAACTACCATGTTTCCTGCTCCCCGTCAACCCCCTTCCCCACTCCCACTGATCCACCTTTGATCTTTCTCTGCATGCTCCCTACCCTACCTCCAGCCCACTGCTCCAACCCCACTTTCTGCCATCTCTACCCTTCACCTCTGATCTTCTCTGTCCCCCCAGCAGGACCTGAGAACACTGGTGGCAAAGGATAGGGGCAGCAGGAGGTGTAGAACATAGGAGCTGAAGGAAAAAAAAAATTTCCCTCGTAAGTCACACCTCTAATTTCAGGCCAAAATATATACAAATCAAAGTGCAGCTATTATGTGAGAAAAATATAGTGAACAAAACATATGTCAGAATTTGTTGCTGCAATATCAATCTCTTATCATGAACTGTAATATTAAGGGTACTGATGTCTAGCAATCTTGAAATAAATGTAAAAAGTGTTTCATATTAGTGATATATATTTGTAATTAATAACCAATTACTAATAAATTAGAAGCTTTACTCAATTATATAAATGACTACTCAGATGAAGAGCTGTTTTCTTAAAATGTTAACTGATAACCTCATCACACTTTATTTAAATTTTTTCCATGTACACACAAATCACATAAACAGAGTAAATGAATGCATGCTGCCCAAATACCCCGTTGAGCAGAAAATTAGTCTGGGATAAAAAAACGTATACGAGGATGGCATGAACTTTTTCAAAGAGATAGCCATTTTTCAAAGCAACTACTGTAGTCTGATCTAGGCTACTGTGATGTTTCCATTTACATACTCTATATCTACTGGTTGTTCGATAAAGATCATATTATAATACGGCCAACAGGTTGGTAAGTGGAACATTTAACATCAACTCATTAAGCAGAATAATTTTAGGATGTTTCTAGGAAGGGTTCAATATGGTATTTTGGATTTCCCTTCCTAATCACTGATTAAAAAGACAAGTTCTACCTATCTTTACTATTTTAGAGGTTATAGACCCAGATACAAACGATCATAGCATTTTAAAGCGAAATCAAAATGAAATCCTACACAGTCGCTTCTCCCCCTTTCTATTTAAAAACAGAAATTATGCTCCAGAGTTGTCTTCCCAATGTCACAGAGATGGTAGATGCATTAGAAGTCAGTTTTCTTAAACGCTTTTACTTTTGATGAAACCAACTGAAAGTAGTTCTTCTGTATCATACTTTGGATTCCTAGAATGCTATCTACCCATCTTTTGTATTGTCTGAATTCCTAGTTTGAAGGAGTCATACCAACATCATAATCATTACAAGATAACCTGAAACAAATTCAATACCATAACTTATAGCAAATCATACTTTAAATTTCTAATTACAGCAATATCAGCAAATAGACTATTCAGACATGCTTTTATGAGAGATATAATTTTATTTTCCCAACCAAAATATCAATGCTTTCTTCAAAGGAAAATGCAAAGAATATAAGAACATCACTTTAATATGTCTAAACCATCTTCCCCTATCTTTCCCCCAAAATGTGTTATTCAAAGATGTGCTTCTACTTACACATTTCCTTATTTTAATAAACGACATACCAATTCATTAAAGCTGATAATCTCTGAGTTGTCTAAGTCTCATCATATCCAAGTACCATCAACTTCACTTCTAAAATATTTCTTTGTTCCTTTCTCTGTCCCAACAGATATAGTTATTAACTCAGACCTTGATCAGGTCTTCTTAGATGCCTATGTCATCAACAGTCTAACTAATTGGTATCCTTGTTTTCAATCTTTCCCAACATCCTTAATATGTTTTTGATGAAAATTATTTCTTCCAACTGCTTAAAAGCAGTTATCTTGTAGGCAGTGAAAGGCAATTAAAATCAAATTTTTAGCCTGACTAGGCTAAACTTAGGTCATTTACTACCTGGCCTATAATCTTTCATCAGTCCTTTTCTCTGGCTTCTTTTCTACCTTGCCAATTATAGCATACTCTGACTCCAATGTTGTAACATAATTCCTTACTACTCCGAAGCACATGTTTCTTTCAGTCCTGGTGTCTATACATGCTGCACCCTCTCCCTGTAAAGTGCTCCTTCTATAGTTTCCTTTTATCCTTCAGGCCCTAATTCAGATGTCACTTCTTTAGGCAGCTTTCTTGGAATTGCTCAGAATTGAGTTTGCTCCTTTGTCTTTTCACAGAACTTTTATATAGAGTAGTAGCATTTATCCTACTTTGCTTTTTTGGGTGGGGAGTTCTTCCCTCTCCCCATTAAATTCTACAAGGATAAGAATTATTGTACCTCAAGTGCCTAGCAAAGTGCCTAACATGGGTACTCAACAAATATTTGTAAAATATTCATTAGCCTTCAAAATATTTTTTTATTTCAATCATACATCTGATAATTATTGAAGTAGTTACAGTAAAATTAAAATAGAGAACTGAACTCAGAAGACCTGAGTTTGAATTCCAGCTCTGGAACCTACTTCTCTATAATATTGTAATCTTACCACTCTTAGATCTAATCCCCAAAACTCTGAAAACATGAATTATTTTATCATACCTACACTTACAAGGATATTGTAAAGATTAAGTCGGAATAAATGTAAAGCAATTATCAGAGTTCTTGGCACCTAGCAGAAGATCAATACATGTGGTTGAACTAACCATAAGATGGAAACCAAATGGTACCACTGAATTCAGGCATGAGATGAGAAAAATCTGAGCAAGGATATGAAAATAGAAAAAAAGGAAAAAAGAGATTTTAAAAAAAGCATCACCAGTTCTAAAAGTCCTAGGGAAGAAATAATTTCAGATATCAAAACAGAACATAGAAACTCCAGCCCTATCTGTAACTAAGGAAATTCTACATATCTTTTAACCAAAATGCATTAGGCTTACCATACAAACTCAACCCAATCAATTCTCCTACTTCTGATCCTATCTATGCTCCCAAAAGTAGACGATGCCTTAGAAACTTTATTATTCTTCTACTACTAACCAATCAAGATATAATATTACCTCTTTGATTCAGCCCATAGTAAAGTATCAATATTCAATTCTCTGGGCCATCAAGTTTCATGCTATATTAATCTAGGCATTATAGTGAACCTTACTTCAGCCAAGGTTAGTAAGACCTTCATAAAATTTTTAATGTTTAAAGGCCCGAGTAAGTACAGAAACAAAAGCTTGCCAAAGAAAGTATTTACATCCTTCTTAAAAGTGCTTCCTAATCTTGCTTCAAAATTGATTTAAGAGATCATCTGATAGATGAACAGGAAAAGTTTTGGCTTAAGACATATAAGAATGCAAAATTAGCTAAAGCAAATACCATATCTTCTCAGGATAGAATACAAATAAAATATTTCTCTAAACAATCCCTAGCCCTATCATTGGTTTTTTTTTTTTAATTTTTTTATTGCTCCTCTCTGAAAGTCCTTATAAAATTCTATTGATCACAGCGAATGAGTGAGTAGTCAGGATACTCAGATGTGAAGTTTAGGTATTTCTTGAATCAGAATTGCCTGGAATGGAACCCAACCATCTACATTCTTTAAAGGTTTGTCAGCTATTTGGTTAAGATGAGAGACACACAGCAGAGCACCCAAGTTTTTGCACTTTGTTGCCAGTAGGTACTGGTCACTAGCTATTGACATAATCCCTCCCAAACCATGTGAACAAAGATTATATGAGTATATATAATAGTTTCAAGTGTGTCATCAAGCACAAGCCTTAAAATATATTTTACATTAAATAGTAAATTGGTAACAGTTTTAAAAAACAATTCACCCAATTGATATTGTTCACTATTTAATAAAATTCTGTTTGACAAACCTCTCTCTCTGTTGTCGCGACGGTCTCGCTCTCCATGTCTTCTCTCAAAGGAAGAATCCCTTGCTTGATCTCTGTTGTCTCTTTCAGGATATCGGTCTCTTTCAGGATAGCTACTTCGAGTTTCCCAGCTGTCATGATAGTTGCTATTACTACTGTGACTATCAATTTGAGAACCTCTTGAGCTTCGACTTCCTAAACAAAGGACAGTCACACAAATGTTTACCACATACACTTTATTCAACAGATTTCATTAGTCACAATCTTTCCTCCTAAAAACCACTAATATATATATTTAATATTCCAAAGTGTGGTAATCCCTCCTGAAAAGAGTATCAAGCAATGAATCAGAACAACCAAGGTGTCCAATGACTGACCTGAGTAGACAAAGTTCCAGTTTTCTCTATCTATATAAAAGTCATACGATAAAATCATAAAATTATAAGATTCATTAAAGTTAACCTGTCCCCCCACCAAAAAAAAAACTATTTCTTCATATCTAATTCACAGATATATAATTCACAGATATATAATTCACAGATTATTGCTTAAATACAGTTTACAGTGAAAACATTCCAACATAGAACACCAAGGTTAATGACATTAAATTGTATGTGAAAATTTTCATTAACAGATGTGGGAAACAGACATTCACAGTGGCTTTGTTCATAACAGCCAAAACCTGCAAAGTACACTAATGTCTTTCAATGGGTGAACAATTAAACAAACTGTGGCACATGCATGCCATGGAATACTATTCGGCAATAAAAATAAATGACTGATATATGCAACGACTTGGATGAACCCCAAGAAAAAATTATGCTGCGTGAAAAAGCCAATCTCAACAGGATACATAGAGCATTATTCCATTTATGAGACAATTACAGGATAAAGGACACGTAAGAGGCTGCCAGGGGTTGGGGCCGGGGGCCAGGTGAGAGTTGTGGCTATAAGGGGGTAATAAAAGGCAATCTTAGGATGTTACAGATGAGTATCTTGACTATGGAAATGGGCTACACGTATGATAAAACTGCATAAAGCTACATACAGACACACACCCAAGTGCATGTATACTGGTGAAATCTGAATAAACTCTATGGATTGTACCAATGTCAGTTGTTTGGTTTTGATACTACACTACAGGTAGGACGTTAGATGTTAACACTGGAGAAGTTGGGAGAAGGATAAACAAAGTTTCCCTGTACATTTATTTGCAATCTCCTGTGAATTCCTAATTACTTCAAAACAAAATGAAATTAAAAAACAAAACAAAACAAAAAAAAACCTTTTTTGAGCAGGGAGGGTTAGGAGTAGAGAAAGAAGCAGTACTGGGGCTGTGATAATTTAGGAATATCTGGCAAAAACAGACAGAAACTCTGAGGGCCCTGCCCTTAACCTCATAGAATTACCACAAATCAATCTTGACAAAGATGAGTTCACTCCAAACTTAAAAGAACATACGACAAACTAACCCACCCAAAGTCAGAATCAAAAAGCACTTCCCCAAGATTTAAAAAACAAACAAAAACACAAAGAATATAAATGTAACAGGCTTTTGAGACCTAAAAGAATTACAGCATGATTCTATGGGTATTTTAATAATCAAAATAGATATGAAAAATATTTTAATAATTAAAGACCAGGAAGAAAAAATGTAAAACATTTTTAAAGACTACAAAAAGGCTACCTATAACATCTAGGAATGAATGGGTTAACCATCAAATCAGACGCAGCTAAGAAAAAACTGGTAAACTAGAAGTTAAGCCTGAGAATATGACCTAGAGGCAAAACAGATAAAGAGATGAAAAATTTGCAAGTTAAGAATTGAGAGAAGATACAATGAGGAGATTTAATGTGTCTAAAACTATATGTTGTTTAGAGTTACATTAAAAAAAAATAATAATAAAGCCTGAAAGGATGGAAAAAGATACATCAAACAAATACTAACCAAAAGACAGCTGCCAGCAAAACAATCTTCAAGAAAAATACAGGCTGAATGCCCTTTATCTGAAATGCTTGGGACTACAGGTGTTTTGGATTTTGGAATATTTGCATTATATTGATTCAGCATCCCTAATCTGAAACATTGGAAATCCAAAATACTCTAATAAGCATTTCCTCTGAGTGTTATGTCCGCTCTCAAAATGGCTGTTGTCAGAGTTGCTAGTGGCAATAGTTGAAAAAAAAGAAAATACATTAAAAAGTTTGAGATTTTGGAGAATTTCAGATTAGGGATGCTCAACCTGAACCTGGCATAAACAGTCATTCTATAATGAATAAAGAAATAAATAACTCATCTTATGTGTACCTAAGAGCAAAGCCTCAAAGTATTCAAACAAAAAAATGATCAAACTATAAGAAGAAATGAACAAATCTACAAATTCCACAATGATAGTGGAAGACTTAACTCACCTCTCTGTAATGACAGAACAAGCAGACTAAGAAAAATTACATGTAGATTTGAAAGTGTAGTTAAACAAACTTTATCTTAGAGACACACTCTGCATTCAACCATTACAAATGCAACTCCCTTGAAAGCATATGTAGAACACTTACAAAAACAGACCACTGAGCCACAAAATAAGAGTTAACAAATACATTTCCCAAAGAACTGACTTTCAACAGAGTATTTTCTGACAACTAAAATGGGGTGAGAGAACTTAATCCTTAACGCAATAAAAAGCATCTGCAAAAAATCCACAAACACCATACTTAGTAATAAAATGCCAGCAACAATCCTTTAAAATCTGAAACAAAGCAAAGCCCACTCTACTTATATTTAACACTGTATTGATAAAGATGCTCAGCAGGTTACTGACAGAAAATTAATAATCAGAAAAGAGCCAAATCAGTCTGTTCCTAGGAACATTTGTTAAGACAATCTAATTAGATCAAGAAAATACAGCAACATCATTTAAATGTAAGATTAATATACAAATGCCAATTACCATTTCCATGTACCAACAAAGCATTAGAAAATGCAATGTTTTAAGAGACACCATTTAGTGACATACGTACAGTTATTCACTAAAGCATTGTCTGAAAGAGATGAAGATTAGAAAACCAAAATACCCAGTAATGCAGCACTTGCTGACTTTATGGTATATTCTACAATAGATAACATGTGCCAAAAGAAGAAAATAGCTGTTTACCACAAAGAAAGACATGAAAGATATTTTTACTGGTTGAAAACAGTAGGATATAAAATAGTACATGGATTTTTCCACTGTTTTTAAAAATTATTTTTGTAAATCCAGAGGGGAAATCAAATGGATATTTATTTGCTCGCGTAAAATGTTTTTTGGGAAGAATACCTACAAAGCTGGCAAAAGAGTGGTCAGGGTACAAGGGAGGCTTTTCACTATATGTCCTTTTATACATTCAAAATTTTGAACCATGTAAATGCATAATTAAAAAATTTTTTTATCTTACAAAATGTAAAAGCACTATTTATAATGGCAACAAAAATAGAGGATACCCAGGAAAAAAAAATGTAAAAAATATTGGAAATATTATAAATTAAGTTGATGCATTTGAAATAAAAATCCAACAATTTTTTATGAAATTAAAAACTGTTTTCTAAAATTGACATGAAAAAGTAAAGGGTCAAGAAAACACAAGGCAGCTCAAAGAAGCTAAAGGACCCTCAACACAAATATGAAGCTGAAATACTGACCAAGGATTGACTAACAGACCAATGGAAAGAATAAAAGTGATCAAAGTTCTGCAGCAGTGTTTGGGGAGAGGGGAGAAAAGCAGGTGGAGGTAAAGAGAGGTTGTGATAATTAAGTCTCAGCAGTTTGGAAATAGTTACAATATATTTAAGTCATTTGGGTGATGGCAAATACTTTTTATGAAAAGAAAAATGGCTCAAGATAATGACATGTGGCAGTTTGACAGGGTCTGAAGCAAGTACAAATACTGAAGAATACACAAATCAGTCATTTCTGATGCCAACAATTTTGAAAACCCACCACTTTAATTCCACTTTAATTTAATGAACATTTTATCATATTTATACCTATTTAAAAGAAAGTAACTTCCTTGTGATTCTACTTTTTTGTCTGATAGTTATTTTCTTAGTGTTCTACATTAATCAAGATGACAGGCATGACTGGATATAATTGGGGGGGTCTAGCTCAAGCTCCATTTACCTTCTGCTATTTTAACTAGTAATTCCAATTAGGAATTTATAAGGAAGACTATAAATTCAATTAATTAAAAATTACTGTGACAAAATGATAACGAATGTAAGAAACAACATATTAGAAATCTTAGGAGATGTTATACTTTCTATATAAGATATAGTTCATTGACAAGTCAAAAACCTTACCCTTTTCAGGTAACTCAGGAACTCTCCCCCTACTTCTGCCCATTCGGTCATTTCTAATTTCACTTCGAGACTCATTTCTGGACTCATTCCTTATTTCAGTACGAGAACTTTCTTCTCTCAAATGGTTTCGGCCATAACTCCGGGATTCTTCTGGATATGCATCCTCCTTTCGATGAGTATCTCGACCTTCACGGTCCCTGTAGTCATGGGCATCACGAGTGGACCGAGAATCTCTGGGATCACGGCTCTCTTTGGTATCTCTGCTATAATCCCTCATCTCTCTTGAGTCCCGAATGTCTCTGGAGTCTCTTAGTTCCCTTCGGTCCCTAGTATCTCTGGCATCTCTCCGATCCCGACCATCTCGAGGTTCTCTGTCATCTCTGTGGTCTCTAGAAGAGCTCTGATCCTGTTCATACTCTCGTTCTTCTCTTGAGTCCTTTTCTCTGTCTCGTTTGCCCCTAGTATCTATAATGCAATTTTGGAAATCGACTGTAATTGCCTTTACAAAGTTTCAGGAAACTAGACAACATATTTAATACAGAACTTTAAAAATTTTATTACAATGACAATTCATGTTCTTTGCAAAAAATAAGAAGCTAAAATCCCAAAGATAATTAACACTTGATAACAATGTTCTTCATTAGATAAACTCTGAACATGAATTTCCTCTGCCCCGACTTACCTATACTTACAGATCCTAAACAACTGAAACAAATAATTTGATCTCCTATCATTGATGGCTTACTTTTTAGAAACCACTTTTAAATACAAAGACACTTCAGTTACTTGAATCTTTTCTGTCAACTATTAAGCTAGGTTAAACTAGACTGTATGTGACCTCCTCAAATGTACTTAAGTACTTGAGGGTAGCCTATGGTGAGTAAGCTAGCTGGTTAAGTGATACTGTTATTCACTCTCTTTTCCTGCACTGTTTAATGGTATAACACTCATGTGTGCAAGTCTTTAAAGCTTTCTTAGAGCACTTTCTAGCTGGGTGTGGTGGCATGTACCTACAGTGCCAGCTACTTGGGAGGCTGAGGTAGGAGGATCGCTTGAATCCAGGAATTTGAGTTCAGCCTGAGCAACATAGTAAGATGAGACTTTTTCTCTTTAAAACGAACAAACAAAAAAGCGTTTCATAGAAAAAAAAATACTTTCACTTTTTAAAAGCTGGACTGAACGACACTGACTATCTGTAAAAACCATGTCATTTTATAATAAAGAAATAGAGACCCAAAACTTAAATGGCTTAGTCAATCCCATAATTTGGAAAGATTAGAAACCACTCTTTACATATATTTAGAAAGGGCATAAACTGATTATAACAAATCTGATATGAAGCCAAAGAATTAACAAAAAAAAAAAGAAAGAGATGAGAGCTATTAAACAGGCTTTATTGCCAGGTAACAATAAAATCTCAGCCTGAATAGGGAGTAGCAAATCCGAAGTTAACTTAATTCTCAGGGATACAGAAAGGAAAACCACTTTGCTCACTTCTTTATTATGACCTAGAAATTTGACGAGTTGGTTTGCAATGACCTTCTGCAATTCCCCCCAGCCTTCACTCCTTTATCAAAACACTTCTGATGCTTTCCAACTATGCTCCCTGATTTGTTGCTTTTCTTCCCTTCACTTCGTTTTCAAAAGACATTAACTCAGCAATTGAAATGGATGCTCTAAGGATCAGATGGCCAAAAATTTCCAGAACTTGAGAGTACTTACTCAGCAGAATATCTTTTATTATTATTATTATTTTTGAGCTGGAATCTTGCACTGTTGCCCAGGCTGGAGTAGGGTGGTGCAATCTCAGCTCAATGCAACCTCTGCCTCCCAGGTTCAAGCAATTCTCCTGCCTCAGCCACCCGAGTAGCTGGGACTACAGGCGCATGCCACCATGCCCAGCTAATTTTTTTGCATTTTTTAGTAGGTACGGGGTCTCACTGTATTAGCCAGGATGGTCTCGATCTCCTGACCTCATGATCCGCCCACCTTGGCCTTCCAAACTGTTGGGATTACAGGCATGAGACACTGTGCCCGGCTAGAACATCTTAACTAAAGAAAGCACCAGTTTAGCATAGCTGTAAATACCAACTGGTATATACCTAATAGCTTACATTCCCATGTTGTTAAGCATCTCCTATTGCCCTCAAGAATTCTAGTCTGTGTGTTACAGAAGACTTAACATAGCAAAGTCCTCCTCCATTTCTTATTACAACAATGAAGCTGGATATCCAATTTTTCAATTAAAAAAATCAAAGTAAAGTACACACCTTCCCTCCTTTCATGACGTCGATCATGAGACTGTGAAGTTCGTTCATGATCATGTCTCCCTTTCTCTCGCATTGGAGAGCGATGCCTTGGAGGACTCTGCTTTCTCTGAGGAGACGACAAAGAATGTGAAGGATAAGGGGAGGCAGAGCGTCGTAAAGGTGGAGTTAGTGTCCGCTGATAAGATGGTGAAGGAGTTCTTTTTCGACGAGGAGAAGGAGAATGTCTTTGAATAGATGATCCTGATTGTGAGGAAGATGAGTGATGTCTAGAAGATATAGGAGAATGATGCTGTCCTGCTGGCGAAGTAGACCTACAAGGAAAAACAGTAACAATAAAACATGTATTCCAGAACTTCATTTCTAGCCAAAGGAAAATCTTTAAAAACAAAAAAGTGAATGTAAAAGTATAGCTAATAACTCCAGGATAAATTTTAATTCACGATGCTGTAAAATTATAAGTAAGTCACTTTTTAAAGACGTGACTTAACTTTAAGTCAACCAGAAGCAACAGTTCAAGCACAGATACGTGGTGCTTTTCTCCCAGGCTTTAGTGCCAAAGTACACTGCATTTTCCAACATACACCATCTACCCTAACTTAAAGTATGGAATTCACTCTGATAATCTGACAGTGTGAACAAGTACTTGGAGGGAGAAAACCCACAAACTATGGCAAAACATACTACTGAGATCTAGATAGAAAGTGGCTGTGAGAATGCCTGTAAATTCATGGCTATGGGAAAAGGGGAGCTAGCATCAGCTAAGGCAAACAAAAAGTCCACGTTGCTCGGGTTGACATTTAGGACGATGAAAGAATCCTAGAGTTAAGGAAAGGATAACAAAATATATACTGTCTTTAACTTAAGTAATCTGCCTTCACTGTGGGCAGCACAAACTGAGAGTTAGTTCATAGTTCGTGGTTCAACTAACGCCTCCTCTATTCCTTGCAAATCATTTTCTTTCACTGCTACCAGAGAAACAACACATAACCTCATGAAACAGATGTGATCATTAAGTGCATCTGAATCACTCCTAGAGTCTATTATGCCTGGGTCTTGTCCACACTTTTGTGCAATAACTAAGAAGCAGCAGCAAATAATGTTTAAAAAACATTCTAGACATGCCTAGAGAAATATATTCCTCAAAGCAATCATCTCAAGAGCTAAAAGCTTATTCAAAAAAATTCTGACTTTTTTGGTCAAAGCACTTCTGTAATTATCTTCAGTGTCTATGATAAATATTATTTTAGTATGTACAATGATGGCACAAATCATTACTAATTCTAAACCAGTTTCTCAACCCTAGCACTAGTGACGTTTTGTACTGGGTAACTCTTTGGAGGAAGGGGAGTGTCTTGCACAAGACATATAGGATGTTTAACAGCATCCCTGGCCTTAACACACTAGATGCCAGTAGCAGCTCTCCCATTCCAAGGTATGACAATAAAAAATTACTCCAGACATTGACAAATGTCCTCTACCAGGCAAAATCACCTCCAGTTGAAAACCACTACCTTAAACTATGTTGTTTATAAATGATGCTTTAGTAAACCTTCCATCAAAAAAAGGTTTCAATCTATAAACTACTTATAGTTTATAGTTATTTATATCCTACTACTCAAGGTCATGGCCAAGGTCTGATTTTTCACAAAAAAATTTATAACTTCTGGCATAAATGGGTTAACGGGGTCATGGAATATCTGGCTAAACGTTATTTCTGGGCACATCTGTGAGGGATTCCTAAAAGAGTCTGGCATTTGAATCAGTAAACTGAGTAAGTCAGGAAACCGATCTAATATATTAGGAAGAATTTGCAGAAAAGAATTTAGGCAAATAAAAATACCTTTGGGTAACAATTGACTGAAATAAAAAGTCTGCTAACTAGAACACTACACTCACCTAAACATCAAGTTTTCTGTGACTTGATTAAAGCTTTATGCTTTTAATAAAATAGTGATTTCTTTCTAACATAAAAAGGTAAGCCATAAGCCACTAAAATTTAATTGACTCTAAATAGAAATTTATTAACTTAACAGATAACATGAGTGGAAATACTCAATGGGTCTTAGTCAAATTTGGAAAACCATTTATGATCAATGCCCATTTAAATGCATCCTACTGAACAGAAAAATCACTGCAAGAGTAAAAATTAGAGTCAGTATTTTCTGGTGCTTTTCAATTTCAATTTCAGCTTCATTAGGTTCTAGCAAATTTTTTTATTTTTTATTTTTTGGGGGACAAGGTCTCGCTTTGTCACCCAGGCTAGAGTATAGTGGCATGATCACGGCTCACTGCACTCTTGGCTTCCTGGGCTCAAGTGATCCTCCTGCCTCAGCCTCCTGAGCAGCTGGGACTACAGGCACATGCCACCACACTCAGCTAACTTGTTTTATTTTTATAGAGATGAGGTCTCACTATGCTGCCCTGGTTGCTCTTGAACACCTGGGTTCAAGCAATCATCCTGCCTTAGCCTCTTTAAAGTGCTAGGATTATAGGCATGAGCCACCATGCTTGACAGTTCTCGTCAATTTAAAAAACTAAAGAGTGGTTCTTCACTGAACTGATATTTTGGTTACTTCTGAGTTTATTTCTGGGGTATACTTAAAATTGTTTCAAGAATGTCTACAATAGCCTTGAGTTATTAGTTCATAAAACTTAAAAAGATAAAACAGTTAATATATACTATCTTTAAAAAACACATTAGGATCCAATCATGTTTCTATTTAACTTGATGTCTATAGCATGGAAGAAAAAACTTCAAACTTAGGATAATCAAGCTATCATATTAAGGTCAGAACACTAATGTGTTGTCAAATAATGGCTTCAACTTTTTAACCATATTTTCTTCTTACTCAACCTTCACCTATGTCCATTCTGCACATATAAAAGGTATGATTCTAAGTAACGAAACTGTCTTGAAATCTGGTGAAAATTAACAGTACTTTGGCTACAGAGTATTACAGAGCTATAGTAAAGTACATTTCCACTTAGAATAGAAGTAACTTCAGATTAATTAGTCGTATGATTTATAATTGGCTGGTTTCTTATCTGAGGAAAAAAATAAGTTAAATTTGAAATTCAAATAAAGAAAAAAAGAAAGTTTATTTAATGAAGAGACGCTTAATACCTTAAAACAAAAATCTGTATAATGTAAGCAAGAGCACTGTGATTTATTGTATACAGGGAAAGTTGATCTTTAGTCTGACTAGATTCCAATAAAACACTTTTTAGTGCTGCTATAATTAGGACATGATGTGGTGTGGAATGAGAATATTCAGGGTATATTTCATTGTGGAAAAAATGTGAAAATTAAGAAATTTAAAAATAAAAACTCCTCTCATTCAAGATGCAAGTAATTTCACCTGCAAACTAATAGGCTTACCCCAGACTTACTTAAAAATATTAACACCAATTTTTCTCTCAAAAAATGGTTTCTATTTCTCAAATATGAAAATATGCTTACATAATGCAACTAACATTCCTATTTTAACCTTTAAAATCATGGAAAATGTATACATTTTCAAAAACCAAAGGTAATATGGGCACTACCAAAATCAACTCTGTTTTCAGTGATAAAATACAATACAACATAATACACATTTCACAAGTAGAAACATTTAGGTTCTATTACTTTACATACGAAGTTTATACTTATTAAATCACTTTAATTCACTCAACAAATATTAAGTGAGCACATACTAACCTCCAAGTATTATTTTTGGCAATGAGGATACAGAAATGAAAAGAACAAAATCACTAACATGGTAACAGTAATGACATTAATAATAGCAAGTAACATATATTGCTACTACGTGCATGACAGTATTTTAAGTGCCTGTCATATATTAACTCACTTAATCTTTATGACAATCTAATAAGGTAATTGAATGCGATGGTTAACTTTATGTGTCAATCCATTTATGCCTAGTGTTCCATTATTGGAACACTAAGCTTGTGGGAGTTATTTATATCCTACTGCTCAAGGTCATGGCCAAGGTTTGATTTTTCACAAAAAAATTTGCAACTTCTGGCATAAATGGGTTAACTGGGTCATCGAATGCCCAGCTATCTGGCTAAACGTTATTTCTGGGCACATCTGTGAGGGCTTCCTAAAACAGCATGGCATTTGAATCAGTAAACTGAGTAAAGCAGATGGCCCTGATCAATGTGTGTATCATCCCATCTACTGAGGGCCTGAACAGAACAAAGAGGTGAAGGAAGGTTACATTCTCTGTTTGCCTGACTGCTTGAGCTGAATGTTGATCTGCCCTTGCTTATTAGGTCTTATACGCTGACTGGAGTCAGCTTTTTACCTCTCACGCTTCTGAATTACACCACCAGCTTTCCTGGGTCTCCAGCTTGTAGTCAGATCATAGGGCTTTACAGCCTCCATAATTGCATGAGCCAATTCCTTAAGTAAATCTCATTCTAGACATATCTTCTATTGGTTCAGTTTCTCTGGAAAACCTTGACTAACACCTTGAGGGAGGACTGGAAACCAGTCTCTCTAGTAACAGAGTCTATGGCCTAGGGAGCAAACCAACAATGACAAAGCAAGACAATTTCTGCTAATTAATGTAACAAAGTTTATACAAAAGGACAACAAAACAGAACTGTTAGGTCCAAACAACCACAAAAAGTATGTGCTTTTTATTCTTAGAGCTTAAAAACAATCTACAAGTGTGTGGCAGGAATACCAGCTATTTGTCTTTTTCTAACCCTTGATCACAAAACACAAAAAGTACGTCAGAACACAAAAAGTACACAAAAACACAAAAAGTACACAAAAACACAAAAAGTACACAAAAAGTACACAAAAACACAAAAGTACACAAAAACACAAAAAGTACACAAAAAGTACACAAAACACAAAAAGTACACAAAAACACAAAAAGTACACAAAAACACAAAAAGTACGTCAAAACACAAAAAGTACTTTAGGTTGCTTGGTAAGGAAAGGACCTTTACTGGAGGATATATTTGAGCCAAGTGCTGAAGATCTGAGGGAAGAGCTTTAGGATCAATAAGCACAAAGGAGGCAGGAGGGATCTTGATGTATAAGAATAGAAAGAAGCCAAGTGGAACCACAATTTATGAGAGAATAGAGTCTCATGAGAGAATCAGAAAGCAGTCAGAGCCAGATATGGGCCACAGGTCATGGTAAAAGTCTGGATTTTATTCTAAGCATGAGAGAAAGCACTGGAGAGTGTTAGGCAGGTAAGTGCCATTTAAAATATAACAAGATCTTACTTGTCTAAATAAATCTGTAAGATGAAAAAAGAAAATGCTTCTGTGTGATTTATTTTACACCTAGTAGCCTGCTATTCTTTTGCAGCAGGGTAAATACTCCCTGGAAAGTGAATCATTTCTAACTGAACA